AGAATATCACATTTTGGATATTTGCGGCGAAAATTGACAGTTTCGGGATGTCGTTAGTTGAAATTATTCAAATGCATTTTGCATCGAAAAATTCAACCATAGAAAATATTGTTTCATAAATAATAACTCCATCTAATTTCCAAAACGAAAAAAATATGAAAATACTTCTCACTCTCGTCTCTGATGCACTCAAAAAACGAACGAACCGAAGAAAGATAATAATTCCTAGAATACCTATTTCCCTCGAGAACAGTTGGGACGCGGACCCGATCCTGCGTCAATTAAGCGGGGAATACTGTATATAATGATCCAATCAGCGCAAAATTTTAATTAAATCAAATTCGGTCATATCTGACTTACATGGTCCAAAAAAAAAAAAATAAATAAATCTTGTCAATTGTTACGTTACAAAGCAAAACATTCTCTTTTTCGTAGCCAACCATTCAATAGTGCTTCTTTTCGTCATTACAATCGGTATCTGTATGTTACTTTTCGTGGCAAATGACTCGAACATGTTAATTTTCATGTTAAAACAAAGGTGCTGTTTTTCGTGAAGCACGTTGCTTTAAGTTAGGTCATGATCAAATTATACATATACCTAATCAAACCAGAGATATCGTCACAAATGAGGCAAGATGGATTCTAAGCATCGGGCTGTATTTAATGTAAAATAATAAAATAATATTCATCTGCGATTAATAATCTTTTAACAATTTATTCCACGAATTACTGCAACAGAAGTAGAGGTACTGTTTAATCCTATTACTTTGATATACGTAAACAGCTACACCGATGAAGCGGATCATGAAACGAGCTTATCAAATCAATAGATACGATGGCAGATTAGCGTTAGACTACCGGTTATCGATATCCTGCCATGATGTAATAGGATTACAATGGTACATTGACGTGGAAACATTCTTCCTTTACTGACCTGCACGATACGAATCACGCATGATGCGTTATTTCTCGAATCGGTGGTTACCATTACGTTCAAACAATAGACTCTTAATCGATAGATGCAGCATTTCGTGCTTTTCAAATTAAAATCTCTGGTTTGCAATTTGTTTGTACTAGTGCTTCGTTAAACAGCAATTTTCCATGCGACCTTTTTTTTTTTTTTACGTGGGGAAATCCTCACGGACGCCCCGCCCCCCAGGGGTCGGGGGCGGGGTAGTGCCGGACTCTTACCGGCTAAAACTCCACGGTGGCCATCCTCGGCACTCCGGGAGTGTGCCCGGTATCTCTTACGAACACAACCGGACCCACCCCACGCCGGGCCCCTCCCTCGAGACGTTCGAGGAGGGAGGGGCTCATCCCGGAGGGGGTCAAATGGACCCCCTCTCAACTCCGAGGCGCCGCCGGCAATGGGCGTGCAATGGGCTGCCGAGTCCCCCCTCGACAGCCCTACGGCCCCGGCCGCCGCGCAAAGACCCGGGCGGTGCCCTGTCCCCCGTCAAGGAGGCGGGGCCCCCCGCGTGGGCGGCCACTAAACCGGAGCAGTGCCTCCTCCCCCGGGTCCGTGCACTCGGGTTCCTCGGGGTCGTGAACTCCCGTAACGCGACCGATGGAAAAAGTCAGTCGCGACCCCTGAGGTCATGCTACCTGCTTTCCGTAGAATTCGCAATTTGTGTGACAATGTGTTTCAGGACATTATTTATAAAAATTTCGCAAAACTTTTATACACGCTATTGAAAATACAATTCGACGCGTTGTAATAATTTACTGGTCACAAACAAATATTTTTGATGGAATAAATGTAGAGACTTTCATCTTCTATGAACATTTCATCGTATAAAACCATGCAAACAATGAATTACAATCAGGATTTTGTTTTCTACGTAATAAGGAAACATCCCGAAATGATAATCATCGATATTAATGAAATTCTGGTATGTGATGTACTCGAAAAATATTTAACAAGTATTTCTTTTTATTATCAATGCTCCATGTTGAAGGGCTGAAAATCCCTCTGAAAATATTTGTCAAAAATAATTTGTAACACTCGTTCTGCTGGTGGAAATTAATGCAACAGTGATCAGTTTTGCAAAGTGTCACAATATTAAATGTAAAGTTAAAATTAAACATTTTTTTGTTTAAAATAGTATAATAAGTGTTATGAATTATATAAATAAGATTTGCATTTTTATTAATTAGCCCTAT